CTTCAATATGACTGACAGTGACAGTACGCAAGTCTATCAGCGACCCCCTGTTAAATACCCAAATGGGTGCTGAGGTATTCGTAGCGCCCTACAAAGTCTAAATAGTGAACACAGTACCCGCTGACTATGCGTTATGCGGTAATATCTTTCCTTGGAAAAGAGGAAGGAAGACGACAGGGAGCCAGATGCCTCCTCAGCAGCGCCATCTGCTTCCTCCTCTGTCTGCGCGACACAAATATCCCGAAGGCAGCAGAGAAAGCACAATCTCCAATACTTGTGGGACTGTAGCCAGAGAGCATGTCAACCGCTTAAAACGCCCTTCAGTGCTGCAAAAATGAAACAGCAGGTTTGGGTCTCACTGATGGAACATTTATGCCTTCTCTCTCCCGCTGCTCCACAACAAGGCTGCCTATTTGCTGCATGTATCCCTCGGTCTGGCGAACAAGCTGTAGTAGCCGTTCGTTCTTGGTCTCCTGAAGCAGCTTCAAGTAGCCCGCCTCATCGTGTTTCTGCGCAAAGACGAAACAAAGAAGGTAAGAAGCAATGACTTGTCCGTATCAGAAATCTACTCCGCCAGCTTCTGCAACTGAATGTATCTTCAGATGAAGTACAAATAGCCATCACTAGGAAAAGTAAATATAACACCGCAAACCAGCCCCTGGCGCGAGCCACTGGGCACAGAACTAGGTTGACGGCCCGTGAACAGCAACCCATCGTTGAAAAAAAAACGGCAACGCCGCAAACCTTCCAAAAGTGCAACCGAAGAACCAAGCGTTGATGTAGGCACTGACCCGCAAAGCGTCCAGTCTTTCCTTTCTCATCTGTGCCGCCACAGCAGCCGCTCCGGGGCAACCACAATCTGTGGGATGAAGCGGGTGGCCGCAACTGGCAGCACCCTCTCCTCCATCCGCTGCTGCTGTCTTCTTCCTCTTGACTGCAGCAGCAACCCGTCTCAACTGCCGCAGCACGTCCCGCTGCTGCTGCAGGAAGGTTCGCCTATGGCTGTCAAGCAGCTGCTGCAGCACCTGCTGCCGCTGCTGTTGTTGCTGCTGCCGGGCCGCCGTCATCCGGTCTCCTCGTTCACGCAGCAAGCGCAGTGCTCTGTGCTTTCTCGCTAGCCTCACGGGCAGGTGCTGTAGGGGAGGAAGCTGAGCAGGGCTTTCTGTGATCCTTTGGGCCACCACCTCTTCCCGTATTTGCTTCTGAAATGGCGCTAGAATCAAAAGCCTCCGCTGCAGCCGGCTGATGCGTGCTCTCTCTTGCATGCTGCTGCTATTGCCGTCGTCCACAGGACATACCAGGCCGCCCACGCCCCACCACTCATCAGAAGAAGACAGGAAGCCATCAGCATCGCTTTCTTCCTCAGTTAATGCAGTAGATGATGCAACCTGTGCTGCACCAACTGCCTCTGCTGCGCAACAGCTGCTGCCACTGCTATGTAGTGCAGCATCATCCTCTCTTTTTGACTCCTTGGTGTCCACTTGTTGCTGCTTTCGCATATGCTTCTCAAGCAGCAGCTGGTGCCGTTGCTCTTCCGAGCTCCCTCCGACGCCTAGACACGTGTGTAACGCGTTATCTTTTGAGGTGCCTGGCTGCTGTCGCTGCTCCTGAAGCTGCCGTTGCTGTTCTTCTTGATGCTGCTGTTGCTCTTCTTTCTCGAGTCGCAGGCGCGCCACCTCTTCATACTTGTGGGCTTGTTGTTCCAAAGCTTCTAGCGCACGTTGTTGCTGCTGCTGAAGCTGCTGCTCATACAGTTGAACGAAGAGCTGGTGGCTCCGAGGACGTTGCTGGTGCTGCTCCTTCGGCGCTGGAGGCTTGTAATTTGTGCCCGCTTCTGCTGATGCAGCGACAGCAGCAATAAACTCACGATTGGGCTTAAACCCAAGGGCTGGAGAAAGCCCTAGCTGCAAGAGTTCGTCCTCCTTTAGGGGTTGCTGCAACAGCAGCAGCCGCATGTATGCCCGAGTCTGCTTCACGAGCCGCTCAAACTGGTCTTCTCTAAACAACCGAGAGGGTTCTGTCTGCTGTTGCTGCTGCTGCTGCAACCACCTCAGTACGACCAGCAACACGCGTACCCGAGCGTCCCTTAAAGACATCCGGTGGAGGGACAGTTGCTGCAGCAGCCGGCAGAAAGCGCTATACAGCCCAGGAGACTCCGGGGTGCGCAGCAACTGCAACTGCTGTTGCTGTAGCTGCTGTTGTTGCTGCTGTAGCTGCTGGAGCTGAAGCCGCCTTTGCCGCACATGCTGCTGATGCTGCATTAGTTGTGGCGGCTTCATGATGTCAACCGGTAGTTGCTGCTGCAGCTGCTGCTTTTGCAACTGCTGCTGCTGCAGGTGCTGCAACAGGCCACGCTGCGCGATCAACTGCTGCTGCTGCTGCTGCTGTGCAAGAAGCTGTTGTGTGGAGCTCGGAGTCATCTGAGACGGCCCGGCAGGAACTGCCGCCGCTGCCGTAGCTGTAATAGGCACTGCATCCCGCCCCGGTCCCTGCACTGGATAAGCTAGATGACCTCCATTCATATGGGACAGCTGACCAGGCAGTTGCGGTAATGGCTGCTGCATCTGACCCTCTGAATTGTCGGGAAAACATTGCGCTTGCTGCTGCTGCTGCTGCTGTTGCTGCTGCAGCGGATGCTGGGACTGCTGCTGCGCCAGCAAATGCTGTTGTGTGAGCTTCATCTGCACAGACACGTGACTCTCACTTCCTTAGTGCAATCCTCCTACACAAGCAGCTGGTAATGCAGATCACGCGGCTGCCGGCTCACCAACAGTGCTTGAGGACATTTGAATGGGCCGCCGTGCGGGTGGAGCACCTCGAGCAGCAACCGTTCTGAAGCAGCAGCGCCCGCTCTAGCTGCTGCAGCCACAGCTAGAAGAATTCCGTACTGAAAGGCTCCTTCTTTAAGAGCCTTGCTCGTAGTCTATACACGCAAGGCTGCTGCAACGGCTGCAACAGCAGCCGTTGCTGCTGCTGCACCCTGCAGCAGCAGCTGCCGCTGCATCAGCTGGGGGAGGTACAGAGTGGTCACGGTCGGCTCAGTGCTGCAGAAATCTTCGGTGGGTAGGGCCCCACAATCGTTTCAGGTCTCACGAGACCAAATGCGCACGTCAGGCACTCACAGCGGTCCCTCGCACTGCCTGAGACCGGGCCGGGGGCCGCGGCGCTGGGTGTCACCTACAAACCGTGGGTACTTCTCATGATCCTTAATGAAGTCAAGGAAATCATCACTGCTGATCAAGTGAAGATACAACGCACAGCCGATGACGAAATCAACAGAATAACTGGCGAAGAGGCCCGGCTCGTCGCAGAGTCCCTCACGTTGCTGGTTTCAGTTGCTTCCAGGCAATGTAAGCATATGTAAAGTAGCTAACGAAATGCAAAGAGAGTAATGTAGAGGAACAGTCGCTGCGTAGGCAATTGGACGTCGAGCGTGCTCGCCGTTCAAAGCAGGTGCACTGTTGCAAGCACTCACTGTTCGTGCCACTCAAGCCGAGTAAGGCAGGAGGTAAATACATGTAAGTTAATGATGGAAAGCCAAGATTCGATGAGCAGAAGTATAATTTTACTCTCAAGAAATGGATCGCTTGGACTATGCATGCAGCAGTCGCTGGACGCAGCAGGGCTGGAGAAAAGAAAAGGATAATTTTGAACGGAAAGCAGAATTGCGTCAACAAATTCGCTCATTTCATCCTCTTTGCATGCTCACTACGCCAGCAGACATGATTAATTCCCTGCCGGTGCCTACAATGATTATGCTGATTGTTCCGCGCCCCCCAGGAAGAGCATGAGAAGTGGATGAATAACTCGCCGCCCTTGCATACACGCCAGTGAGGGAAAGCAGCCAAAGGCCACGAAAATTAATAGAAGTATATCCCTTTGGTGTTTCATTTGCTGGCTGGAACGTTGCCATAGGCTTGCGACGCGCCCCCGGTGCAGGGCACCACCCACATTCGGTGAAAGTGATAGGAAATGCCTCCAACAGACTTGCAAAACAATCATATAACTTAATGCTCCTTGAGAACACTTTCAAGATGCTGTGGCAAGGCCGCGGCTTCTGCACCAGAATGACCTCTGGTGGCCACGTAGTAGATCCGGCTTCACATGGTAGAGAAAGGCGTTGCGTGAGTTCACCTGTCCGGAAAGCCTGGATTCCGTCACGAAAGAATTGGGAGCTACTGCGGCCTTGCTTCCAGAGGAGATGGTTATGAGGGTTCCTGCGCGCTCCTGTCCTTTTGGCTGGATCGAAACAGAGTCAAAGAGAGCAGTGCATAGAGCTCCATTTGTTCCTTACGTACCTGTGATCAGCTGATCTGCACTGCAGGGTTTTGTGTTGGGCAGTGCAGAGGCAATCGATTAGGTTGAGGATAACTGTGTCATCTGCAGGGTGGCATGCTAGGGTCTGAACACTCCGTAATCCTGTAGTTGTTTTTGGGAGTAGACAGATGAAAGTGTGTACACCACTCGTCGCTAAATTAGTTAGCAGTTCGGGAGTCTAACTGTGCCAAGTGGCGACCGGAGTACCCCGGGGCGCTCCGGTGCTGCGACTTAGCCGTTTGACTCGATTCACCAGCCAAGCGCCCGGCGCGCGTTGACCTGGCGGGTCGCGTACGCGACGAGCGGGCGGCTAACGGCGCAAGTGGAGGACGGAAACATGATGGAGAGTTTGCCGCCAGTAGGCCGCGCTGCGATTGTGAGGACGGAACCCTCTACCGAAGCCAGCCAAGAAAGGCACAAACACGCAAAACGGCAGTTCTAGGCGGCCAACTTGCAGTACGCCGCCTACCGACTCGCAGCCTTTATCTCCACAGTATGTGACACGGTACGTAGGAATCAACAACGCCATCGTGCAACATAATTGCACTTCATGTTGTCAAAACGCTGTGAGAAAGCATTCGCACTTTTTTCACTGCTTTACAATTTTACACATACCTAACGTTTCTAGCTCCTCTCATGTAGAGCTGCGCAAATGCTCTACTCAAGCAGTTACAGTGCACGTACTACTCAAGCAATTGCAGTGCTCTCAAAGCCACCCACAGCATGATAATGAAGTAAGCGAGTTTTAAAATCGCATCTGTGAACAAGAATGAGACAAGGAATATAGTGGAGACGAGCAGCAACTTTACGAGTTCTGGTTCCTTTACGAAGTTCTTCATAGTTTTAAGGAGGCTGCCACGAGACTTGGCATAATTTTGAGGTTCTACTGCAAGCAGTTGAACAACTTCCGAGGATTCCGGGTCCTCTTTAAGCCAAATGCTGCCCTCTGTTGCTACTGTTTCAAGCTGCCCTCGGATGAACTTAGCATCGCTTTGTGAAGTCCTGGCAGTGTCCAGTTCACTTTCTGAATGCAACACATTCCTCTCTCCAAAGCCAAGAGACCTCTCAAAGGTCCCTGTGCTGTTGGTGAGAAATGGCGGCTTCCTGGGGGATTCAAGAGAGGCAGTTGCAGCCCATACGAAGAAAAAGCTGCAGAGTGAAATGCCGACATACTTGCCTCTCATCTCCGCCGCTGTCGAGTTCGAGTATCTGCCATGTTTTGATGGAATTATTTGCTGCAGTGGATGGGTTGCGGTGCGGCGATTGACGAAGAACTGCTGGGATGCCGTGCTAGAAGTAGGATTCCTCCTTCAACCATTGAAAAAAAAAAGGCAGCTGAAGCTTTTACTTCGAACATTTGCGTGGTACACAGGGTCATTTACTTACCGTTCAGGGCAAACATCTGGAGCGCTGTTCCGATGGGACACAGCACAGTGCGTTGTTGCAGTGGGAGCCATAGGCTCACAGCTGGGACAGAAATGAGTTTAAAAGCGAACACAATCTGTAAAATCAATGGGCACTTTTTCCACGAATGAGAAGGTAGTGTGGCAGCATGCAGTATTAGGAGAGCAAACGTCGGCCTCCTCTATGGGCGGTAGCTCGTTCTGCCAGCATCTGCTGAGCATGGGACGCGCTGTTTTTTCTCACATATTCTCGAAGAGACAATTCATACATATTCTTGTCTGTTGTACTTTAATTTGTCCAAGGTCCCATTCAGTTCCGTCTTCATGTAATAATAGCAAGAGAGCTCCATGCGCAAGTTGTTGGTGGCTGTTGGAAGTCCAGCGCCCGATGCATTTTCAAGATGCTTATTTTCATTTAGTATCAACAACCTAAACTTCCATATTAAGGCAGCACCGCGTCATGGCAGACATTGCCATATTTCAATAAGTTCAGACACCTGTCTTAAAACTTCCTCGAGCTTTCCCAAACACCACCAGCCGTTTGCTACAAACGTTGGTAGGTTACTCCCACGCGTGTAAATCAGACATTGATAACTCCTTTGTCGGCCTAGACCAGACTTATGCGCAGGCTCAGCCATTTGGTGACACTGCGCTTCATCGACACTGCAATAACCACAGAAATGCAGGTTTCTTTTATTCGAAGATTGTGCACATCCAGCGGAGTGAGAAAACGGAGAGCTCTGGCACGTGCGTTTGGTGGGTAGTACTTAATATAGTACGCCCATAGTGTGGTACTGCGGGGGGTTGCCGTGGCGCTCCCTAGTGAAAAGGTAGCTTTGAGTGGAACACTTCGTCTCCCGGCATTCTTCTACCTCACTGGCCGCCCAAAAGCGCCTCTTAAGGACTTTCTATGGGTTTCATGGTGAGCTGCGATGTATCTAGGCTCAGCATAACGAATTAAGTGGCAGTGACTTGACAAGGTCTCCGGTTCTAGTCATATGCAGACGCTCTTGGCAAACGCAAAAACTTCACAAAAATTTCACATAACCTGTCAGAACTATAGTCTAAACAAAGAAAAAAGGAAATTCTTGGCCTAGTCGTATTCCTACAGTGTCCACTAGGATGGTGCGCTGGCTCCAGAGGAGGTAATTGTAGCAGCAAGAGGCACAGAGAATCCACCACAGAAAATAAACATTCTCCAACCTTATCAGAAACTACGTCTAGCGCACGAAGGTTTTGGAATACAACAAAAAATCCACAGTGACTGAGCGTTTGCATGGCTTCAAGTTGAACCGGTCTCTGCTATTTGCGCTCTCGGGCTTCCTCAGGCCCTCAAGAAGACAAATATCCACGCAGCGACTCTTTCTTAATGTTTTCGAATCAAAATTACCATAGTGGGCAAAAATGGACATGCTTCCCTGCTTGTGCGCTGCAGTACGGAAGTGCAATTCGGGCGATTTCCAGCTGCCGAGCTTGTGGAAAGTGCCCTACACCGAATCGGATACCCCACAGTGCCTTTGTTTCGTGCCCGCTCATGTTAATTCAAGTATTAAAGCAATGAGCAAGCCAGAAATGTACGGCCTTTGCTTCCAGCGGGCGTTGAAGTCTTGACACTCGGCGGCTCGGTGCGAGCCCCTGTCGGTGCGTTCAGGTGGCTCTGTACCATCGAGCCTTTGACTCTGTATGCACGGAATTGACACTATGGAATCTTCACGTGCCGACGCAGTGGATGGAATGCAGAATGCTGTGCGGGCCTCCCTAAGTTCTTGTTTTGCTAGGCTCTGCCGCGCAACCACTACATTGCAGTACAGAAATGGCCCCCATTGTCATGTAGCTCAAACAATGTTGTTTTAAGCACCAAACTGAAGTAGTTATTACATAAGGGGAGTTTGTTCTTGGGTGATAAGCCTTCCCACCAAAGCTTGAATCTGGCAAGAGACGCTGAATCTGCAGTGCGCCACAAGCCCACGCAGTGGAGCAGAAACATTCAAGGGAGACAGATGTAACCCTGGAAAATGCTTTAAAACGTTGCTGTCTGGACCTTTTCCAAAGCTCAACAGTGTCTTACTTTTGACAGCCAACAGCCTAATGAGCAGGAGAAACGCGTAAGAACAGAGCTCTTGTGAGTGGTGCTACAATCCTCCGAAGGGATAATCTCGAAAGGTTCCGACCATGTGTATTAGGATTACAAAAAATAATTAGAAGAGTTCCACTCAGGGGAGCCTGATCCATGTTTCAGACTATTTGAAGGCCTTCTACAGATTCATCAAGGCTTAGGGCTGGCAACGCCACCGGAGCAGCAGTGACATGTACACCGAGACGTCGCTGGCCTCTGCAGGGGTGCGACAGATCAGCAATATGAGATAATATGTTATTTTTAAGGTCTTGTTTGATGTTTCTGATGGTAGTTGATGAGTGTGTATCTGTCTAGACCCCCAGGCTACCTATGTAGGGCAAGGCTGGGCATAGCTCAGCACATGGACTGGACTCAGTTTACTACAGCATTGAGGCTACTGCAGAATTGTGTTTCTATATTTGATTAGCATGAATAGAGTTAATGCACTGTGTCTGAATTAAAGGCCCCTTGGATTTAGCATTCGGAGTGGATTAGCTATGCGCCTGCGGAAAGGGGCGCTTGAAAGTTGCACACCAGAAGACACCGTCTGGAATGCCCAGCATCCGCGAGCCAAATCAAGCACGACAGCAGCGAAAATTTGCCGTGTTTAGTTTTTTTAAAATGCGCTCGCTTCCTTAAGGTGAGCATCGCACTTGTGATTCCACGCATTCCTCCTAATCCGTCTTACAGACAACCGTGTTGTCCCTGCGCTATATTGTGGTTCCAGGCACTTCAGCGAGCCTATATGCTTACGTATCTTTAAAGGGTCTTAGAATAAGTCTGCAACAAGGACCAGCTTACTTTAACGAACAGTTCTTTAGCTGCGACTGATAGCTATGGTGCTCAATGCTTCACCATTTGGGGGTTGTTCCTGCGCAGCATTGTAGTGCCACACCCTAAAGATTTCTTCATGGACGTTTCACCCTAGGACGTGCCCTAGGACTAAACTGGATAACGGATCGGAAGGTTACCTGGGACTTCCAGTCAGCTTAGCTATAAGCCTACGTGAATGGGCGATGGTGCGATACGACCAGTGAATAGGACGGCAGAGGCAAACATTCGAAAAACATTACCTTACAGGGCGCGGGGAAGTGCCTCAGCTCAGCTACCCTACGATATGCTGACACAATAAATGCCTGAGATGGCTGCGGCAGAGGCGGCTATACCCCTTCGGCGCATTCTCAAGCGCTGTACGACACACGGAAATGATGTTTCCATGGTGCATGTACAGGAGCCACTGCGCGAGGTACAGGCTAACACGGCACATTTGCCATGCAGGGACATAACGCCAAACTCTTCGTACCGGGTAGTGGAGAGCTGTGCAGTACTCAGTTGAGTAAGGAGAGTGAAGAGCCTCTCCAATGTGTTTTGTCTTTTTGGCCCTTGACTCTCCTTACTCAACTGAGTACTGCACAGCTCTCCACTACCCGGTATGAAGAGTTTGGCGTTGTGTCCCTGCATGGTACATGTGCCGTGTTAGCCTGTACAGTCCCGCATCCCATTTCCTGGCTGCCCTGAAGGTGACGCTGACGAGGAAGAACGCGCTTGGTTCCCAGCCTCCCTCCGCGACACGCATTTTCGAGAAAGGATACAGTCAGATGAAGCGCAGAAGATAGCCTTGTAGGTTCTCAATTTGCAAAAGAAACTCGTGCAGCGTTCCCACACGAATTGGATGTAACGCTGCTTCCAAAGCGCCCATATGATCTCAAGATCCTTCCTGTGCCAGGCACCGAACTAAGGCCCAGATGCACACAATGCCAATGAACCAGCTTGCATTGCACTAACAAGAAATGGCTAAGATGTAAGCTGGAGGATGGATAGGCCAAGCTTATTTTCCTACCTGTGACCCGACTATTAAGGCTGCACCGTATGAAGACGCCTCAGGAGTCAACAAAAGGGAGCATGGTTCTCAGATATCAAGCATTTAGCTCCCTAAGTGTCGTTCCTTACTTTGCCCTGCCCTTTACCCAAATTATTGCAGAGATGCTTTGGAGGAATGAATATATTTCTACGCCTGACCTCAAAGCAGGCTTCCATCAAATTTGCGTGACCAAAGGAGATTGGCAGAAGGCTGCATTTTGCATAGTTTTAGGGCTACTTGAATAAACGGTTATGTCCTTTGGGTTTAAAGAACGTCCCGACTGCCTTCTAAGCAAATATTAACACTTAACCACATTCCTTTCTAGGCAAGGTACCACGGATGATCCCCGTTGTTCTTGACTCTAGCCGGCTTCTATGCCATATTTTCTGGAGTCAGGGTACACAAAATGGAAAGAAGCAGCTGCTTTACCAATTGCCACTTGTTCATACCTGTGGTTTCTTTCTAATACATCTATTGTAGTACTGCTAGACAAGTAAGGTAACCTCCCAGTTTGTGGCCCTACCGCCTTGATTCTAGCACCGTACCAGTGAAACAGGGATCCAGAAAACGTAGGATATTCTTGCTGATGTTTCTACCGCCCTGCTTCAGGTGATTTTGGAAATCTACGTGTATTTTCTTCAAATGCAGTTGTTCCAACAACTTCATTGAGGTGAAACAAAATTACTACCAACGTTTATCTGCTCAACAGCTATGTTATGTTCCCCGCAAACCGGTGGTGTGGCCGGGCGAGCCGGCCCAATATGCAACATCCATAAAACTCTACCTTTCTTGGTAGTCTACAGAGGCCCTGCTGGGTGCTCGGTATGTGGGCAAAACCAGTGCGGGACATGCGGGTGCTAGAATGACCTATCCGTATCAGTGGCGCCCTAGAGGCTCACGCGAATTTTCAGGGAGTTCCTGGGTGAGTTTTGGTGTGCATTGATGCCCATATGTATGGGGCGTAACACAGGTCACAGGCTCACGGAGTAGGCTTGCAGTGCATCATGCCCAGCTTAACACCCTTCTAGGTGCCTGCTGCCAACTAACGTACACTCTTTTACTTCATCCAGAGCTAGTACGGACCTTAACTTGACTAAACAGTAATTGATAAGAGTCAAGAGCTGTGAAGGGAAGCATATGAGAAGTGGAGTGTTTGTCTAGCGCAGGGCCTACCCACCCGTAGCACAGTGTCCTTTTATGCCGTGTATAGCTGGTTAGTATGGTTAATCAATTTAACTCAAGACCAAATTAGTTGGCCTCCCGAGATCATTTCCTGGCTCCCTTGCAGTGCGCGGCACTGCAGCATTCAGCCCACCACCGTACCGTCAAACAATCCACCCTATAGTATTAATAATCCCGGTCTGCGAAGCATTATTTGTAATGCTGTTGATCGAAGCAAATGCCCTTCCGGTAGTACCCAAAGCTCCAGAACTGGCACCAGCTGAAGAAAAGCGTTCACCGCATACTAGGATTGTCAGCATGGCCGGAACTACCCTGCCGGACAATTTTGAAGAAATAGGCTACTCAATGTTTACACAAATGTATGTTTAGAGTATGTGAGAAGCCGAATGACACTGATTCTAACGGGGCATCAGAGCATCCTAGATTCATTACAGCACAGCCACATGGACAGTGCGGCCCCTGCAGGCATTGTCAGTCTCTCGGAAGCATATGGCGTGGGCCATAATGGCATGCAGCCTTTAGCGGAATCCTTTTGCTCACCTTCATGTGCTACCTAAGTTGAATAAGTGAATATCGTTGTGTCTAGGACCTCGCTTGGCCGCTCACTCAGTGTAGCACCATGGTTTTGCTACTCAAAACTTGTCACTCGATACAACACCCAATTCAGTATCGAGAAGCTGCAGTTATACAAATCAACAGTCCTTGCTCAACGGTTGTCAATCTTGCTGGCTAGCTTCAGGGGTCAAGATGTCCCGAGCCTGTTTGGTCTCGTTGCGCAGGGCAAGCATACACCCGTATTTTACGTTGACAATTCTCTCTCCAGAGTGGATGATGACAGTGCTCATTACATTTGTGTTTACTTCTTGAAACAGCCTGGCCGCGAAAGGATCCTCCCAAAGTATGTACCCCACACCAATGAGAACTCACTTCATAACGGCCTACACAGGTGACACGTCTTTGGCTCAGTGTTTCGCAGAGTAAATGAAATCGGAAAAAAAGCCTGCAGTTTGTTTCAGTCTAAAGGTTATTTGCAGACAAAGTCGATTACACTGCGGTAGGTTACTTTTGGCTGGTGGCGGCCATTTGGGGCTGTTTGAGCAGCGGTTTTGCAGGGGCTGTAGCTTGGTCTGTAGCACTGCGACATTAAGTCTTTACTGCTTATAGTTTTCGGTGTTTTCCCGCGTGCAGAAAAGGGGCCGTATTGGTGTGCTTGAGCTCGCCCTACGTTCCGTCGGTCCACCACGCCACAGCCTGCACCCCACGGCCCGTTGGGCTGTTCATCGAGCTCCTAGATTTTCTCCTCTTTGAATTTCATTTTCCATTTGGAAGCACAGAAGGATTATTCGAAATGCAATCCAAATTCTGGGCCGCGGGGGCGGATTCACTAGAGTCGGAGTACTCGTCGGAGAGTGACGATCAGGAACAGGTAGTAAGGCTCCCCACTTAGCCGTCTGCTTCCGATATGCACCGTCCTGTGTTATCTCTCATGTGATGTTTTGGCAAATGCCGATCGAACGTTGCTTAGAGAACCCTATGGGGATGCAGGGCTCCCCGAGTCGGAGCCTGCCCATGTTCCTGAGTAGAGAAGCAGAATATTCGGTAGGAGTTACCCGACGGACGTGTTCGTGCCACGTGAAAATACTTGCTGGCCTAGTGGTGACGCTTGAGTGCATAGCAGAGCCTCCTCAACTTGTAGCCTTCTCTCTTTGCTGAGGTTGCTGAACAACTGGCAGGCCGCTATTTCTTGCATTTCCGTCGGCATAGCGGTTCTCGCACCGCGCATGCTTTTGGGTGAGACTAGGCTTTGAAAGTTGGCGTGTCTGTGTGCGCTGGTTCTGGTGTTTGTGGGATATCCGTGCTCCCTTATCTTCACGTTTGTGCGTATATGGCTGCTCTTCGTGCAGCAGCAGGAGAAGGCCGTCGCTCCGCCTTCTCGTTGGGCCGCCGCAGAGACATCCTCAAGTGATGATGAAGGACGCGTTGTGAAAAGCCTAAAGGACAGGCGCTGGGGGGCTATGCGCGAAGTTATCCGTCAGATGGAAAACCACATGAAAATCCTTGACTTCGCAGAGTTGGGAAAGGGTCAGATTGCCTATCTTCTAATAGAATTCACGTTTCTGGGAGCGTTAGGATCATTTCTGGGCACATGGTGAAGACGGCGTCAGCTCAGACCACAGAGGATGAAGTTGTGTCTGTGTACCTGCTGCTTACAGACTACGAAACCCTTTTGAAGAGCTACAACAAGGCGCACCAGGTGATAGAGCAAGAGGGAGTGCCAAACTTTTTCATTCGCGCTCTTGTGGAACTGGAGTCGTTTGTGGAGGAGAAGCTCAAAGACAAGGAAAACTTCAAAAAGCTCTCAAGGCCGAAGGCCCTCGCCCTCAACACCCTCAGAGCCAAAGTGCGCAAAACCACAGAGCCATGGGCATCCAGCATTGCCGACTGCAAAGAAAATCCTGAAAAGTTCGAAACACAGAGCGAAGAGTCCGACGAGGCTGACGTAAGTCGAACTCCATGGAGGCTGCCGAGGCTTATACAGCTCACTTTCCTTGTAACTACATCAAGAGTAGATCTGAAGTGCTTAACATGATAGTCAGCGAGATTACTTCTGAAAGCTATTTACGCTTTTTGTGAACTGGGCGCAGTCCGACAGCGATTTCAGCGAAAACGATAGCAGCGAGTTATCCGAATCAAGTGATGGGAGCAGCAGCAGCTCCGATGATGAGGAAAAAGGGAGAAAGGGGAAGACGGAAGGCTCCGACGACGACAGTGAATGGTCGGACTCAGAGGCAGAAGAGGAAAGCCAGGGTTCGTAGTATATGCAAGGAGGTGGAGACGCTTAACCACAACAGTTTGCTCAGGGGACCGGTTCCATTGAGTGCTTCGCTTCGCATGTGTTCGAATGGGAGGTATGACCGTAATCTCAGAGTTGCGTTGTTTGCATTGCAGAGGAAGACGGTGACCGTCAGAAGGATGCGATGGCGAAATGGGGCGTGCGAGAAGAAGGGGAAAAGACAAGGACTAAGTCTGCGAAGAAGAAGAGCTCCTCAAAGAGCTCCAAGACGCCTGCAAAAGAGCCCACGCCTGCTGGTGCCGAGGGTGGCTTCTCGACAAAGGACATGCAGCATTTGTTTGACAGCACGGATATTAATGAAGAAGTGATTGCGAAAAGGGTGCAGATGGTGGTTGAGAAGCGAGGCAGGAGAGGCGTTGACAAGATGGAACAAATGCGCATTCTGAAACGCCTCGCGGAACTGGCTGAGACCGTCAGCCCTCAATGCCACTTGGAGGTTCTGGGCCATTTAATCAGCGCCGAGTTTGACACAACTTCGGGCGTGTTCACTAGTATGCCGTTACAGATCTGGATGGAAACTTTTGCGGGGGTGAAGTTGTTGCTCAGCATCATGGAACAGAATAAGGGCGCCTACCTCGTCCCTTTGGCCGGGCTGGCGGAGAGCTCAACGCCCGAAGAGATACAGCAGATGTCTGCCAGCATTCTTACTTCATTTGTGGAACGCCTTGATGACGATCTTACCAAATCTCTTCAGTCAACTGATGTCCATTCTGACGAGTACAAAGAGAGGCTAGGAAAGAGCATTGATATCCTTGCCCTGTTGTGGCGAACCTTCTGTTTCCTTGACGAGAGAGGATTCAAAGCACAAGCTGCTACAGTCGCGCTAAAGGTCAATGAGCACATGCATTACAAGTGAGTAACGTTAAGCGAATCCTACTTTTGGAACGTAATGATTTTGCCAGAAGCGACTGGTTATGTCTCCAGCCAGCCCTCGCTTCAAGCTGTTTGCTGTGTTGTAATCCGTGCAGGCCCGATACAATCGCCTCCAAGATGTGGGATGTGCTTCGCAAGGAACTGCCTGAAGAGCTCTGCAAGGGACTCCCTGGGGGCAACCTTGCTCCCAGGGCTTTCATTGAGACGCTGACGCGCTACGTCTTTAAGTACTGTGAGCTATCTTTCCTTTTTGCTTTCGGCTGGTGCCGCAGTGTTGCGCAGCTGGTGTCACACCTGCTCTTGAGAAAGCACATAGTGTGTGGTGTTCGTGACGCGCAGAAGGGGAGGCCCCTGCTGTCATATGTGTAGCCCACTTGACTCAGTTGAACAGAATGTGCCCTTATGCTGCTGATGCTCTGCAGTATTGCTTCTGTCTTGCTGCTTTTTTCATTGCGCAGCGGCGAGTCAGAGGGAAAAGATCCGTGCCCTCCTGCACGTTGCGTACAGCAAGAGTTTGCATGACGATTATTACCAAGCGCGAGATTTGATGCACACGCCGAACATACAGGAGTTGGCGATGCAGACGGACATATCAACCCAAATACTGTACAACAGGAACCTTGTGCAGTTGGGGCTCTGCGCTTTCCGCAACGGCCTCATACAGGATGCCCACGCGTGCCTGTCGCAGATCTGCCCCAAGCACAAGGAACTGCTGGCTCAGGGCCTGTCTAACCTTAAGAATGTCGAGCGCACGCAGGAGCAGGAACGTGCCGAGAAACGGCGACTGTTACCATACCATATGCACATCAGTATGGAGCTTATTGAATGCGTTCACAACATGTATGTCGTTGGATTGCTGTTCGTCTCAAAGCATAGGTCTGATTTTTGGTGGTGTAAACCGCAGCGTGCATTGTTATTAATGGCCAGACCGATTGTTTTTGGTTTGTGTGCAGCTGCGCAATGCTCCTTGAGGTGCCTCATATGGCCCACGACGCATTTGACCCGAGGAAGCGTCCAATCAGCAAACATTTCCGGCGCATGCTGGAGATGTACGACCGTCAAGCCTTCGTTGGCCCCCCAGAGAACGCCAGAGAAACTGTCATGGCCGCCACAAAAGCTCTGCAGCGAGGGGATTGGAGCGATTGTGCTCGCCACATTTGGAGCCTTAGCATCTGGGATAAGATGTTCAATAAGGAGCACATTCAACAGATGTTGCTGCAGAAGATTAAGGCGGAGGCAATGCGCACTTACATATTCACTGTAAGATGATGCGTGCTTTATTGCTTTAAATTTGAGGTGGCAGGTATAGTTCTGCTTGTAACAGTTGCTGCGCAAGGGCCCATCCTTGATGTATCCTTGGTGTTGAGATGCCTTGGCTGTTCCGACTGTTCGCAGTACCTCTCGCTTTACGATTCTTTCGCAATCGGGCAATTGGCGAGCATGTTCGACCTTTCGCTGAATGCCGTCCACTCGATCGTCAGCAAGGTAAGTGCGGTAAATCATCCGAGCTCGCCATGCTTGCAAAAAACGCATTCTTTAATCTTCCCTGCTTTGTGAGGACTTTGTCAGCGGTGGCGTGCGCATGCTATGCGCCGCGACACTAGCGTTTGCCACCGAGGACATGAATGCGCATGCATCTATGCGTTTCCCTTCGTGGATTTCAGATGATGATAAATGAGGAGATCCACGCGAGCTGGGACGAGACAAGCCAGTTCATTTTAATCAGTCGCGTCAAGCATACACGGCTTCAGCAGCTGGCACTGACACTTGCGGAAAATGTCGCGAATGCCGTTGAACAGAACGAGCTGACCCTCAACATGAAAAACCCGAAGTGAGTATTTTTCCGTTCTTTCTGCTTCGGTTTTGCTGTGAGTTGATGTATTGTGCATCTGTGCACGTATTTATCTGTACGCATCTGTGTATGCATATGTGGAAGAAGATTGATGCGCATACATCTCGCAGGTTTGCTTTAACACACGAGCGGCGCTTTATGAGAGATGGCGACAGGGCTGGCTGGGGCACTCGTGACCGCGAAGATGGAGGGGGGCACCGCAGCAGACCAGGATTCCGCGGTCGTGCAGGGCTGAACCCTGTGGGCGCTAGGGGACGCGGTTTGGGTAGGGGGACCTACAGAGGCAGCGGCTTCAGAGGCAACAGAGGAAGCGGGGACTACAGAGGGGATTACCGCGGAGAGAGTAGGGGCGATCGTGGAGAGTACAGAGGCAACTCAGATCAGCGAGATCCCTTTCGCATCAAGTTCAGCAGTCCTCTCACATACAATTAAATATATTTACGACTCATTCTTACCCATCTATTCGGCTGGGCAGCGATAAAGGCAGCACGCGACCGAATATTTAAGTTCTAGGGCGTTTCGATGTGTAAGGGTGTATTCTGACTCAGAGGATGTATTGGGCAGCCTTTGCTTAAGGTGTTGCACTGGCAACGCGCATAGACTCGCAGTGGCTGCCACAAAACAGCCACTTTGCCTTAGTATGAACACAGTAAATTTAAGTGGCGCATATTTTTCCAACAGATAACTGCATTTACTGCTACTGCTGTGTGCTTGCCGAGTCAAGCACTTCCATTTCATTCCATTCGTTAGCGTTTAAGCAATTTTACCTGCAGTGTGGATGCTCATTGCTTGCCTCATGGAGCGCGTCTGCTGCGTCTACTTACAGCCGGCGTCCGATTTGGGATCACCACGATTCTCGCACGAGAAGGCTAGAGTGGACGAAAGCTAGGCACGCCACCCAGCCACTGGTGGTCGGAGTTTCGGCCAACAGTTTAAGTGTGTGCGTACATCTTGGATATGTGTTGCCAGTATTGTGAGGTGCTTATCCATGCGCATCTCATGAAGTGAACTGAAGTGTGCATGCTGATGGCACAATTTCACAGTAGTTATTTGCACATGCTGTGCCGTGGTGCTCAACAAATGAACAGCGTGGTAAACATGTCACCTGTGTTCCTGCCAGCTCCCGTGCACCGCGTACCTTGACTTGTTTTTTCGCATTGTTTAGTTCTCCAAGTTCGGGGGTACTCACATTTGACGATTAACACAAATTAATGCGCAGTGTCAGCCTAACGGCGTCTGCAGCTCCAAGCAGGTGTTACATCGCGCAGAGACTCCAGCGAGAACAGAAGATATACAGTTGCAGGCTGGCTTTTGCACTAGTGATGGCCGCCTGTATGGGCAGGGCGGCGAATCAAGTCGTACAGCGAAATGCTTGTCTGAGCTTTTGAAGTGACGCATTGGTTTGGTGTCTTTGCTGCCACTCCCTTGCGGTGGAGGCTTTTGTGGAGCCTAGGTCGCGTAGTTAGTTGGTCCTTTACAGCCAGTGAACTTTCGAGTTGCGTGGATTCAGCAACAATGTGCTTTTCTGCGGTCTAGTCGCAATTTTGGTGTTGCCAGGTGCGGTTCGGCCACTCGCCCAACGCAGGGAGTGGATGATCCGTTGCAGCTCACAAGCCTGCGTTCTGCGGGTG